TCAAATTTTAAATTGATTTTTTTGGGTTAAGGGAAAAGTTCTTTGAGAAAATAACGATGTGGGTGTGGGTGTGGGTGTGGATGTGGATGTGTGAAGGTGTGGGGTGTGGATCTATTGTTCAGATGTATCCACACACCACACCCACACCCATATCGTTATTTTCTCAAAGAACTTTTCCCTTAACCCAAAAAAATCAATTTAAAATTTGAAGAAACTAACTTCACATTCAGATTTCCCGATCCCGATTTACTTTTGCTAGAAATTTCCTAATCAAATCTATCTGCTAGTGAGACTGTGTTATATTGAACGAGAGATTTGGATTGAGCCAAAAATTAGTATTGGTTGGACCCGGAAACGATCGAACTGGAGTATGACCGAACCCCGAAAAGTTCAAGCTCGATGTATGTCTGCTGAAAAGAATTCTGTTGGGGTGTAAGATATCCTGCAAACAGAACTTACTATAATTCGAAACAAGATCTTGATCAAAACTTGACAAGATCCTTGTGATTCAGGATCCTTAAAGATCCTTTCGGACTTTCTCAAGGAATAAACAGAATTGAAACTATGATCAGAAGGTTGAATGGGTTGAAAAGTTGAAATCACTTCCTCTCTCTTTTGTCAGTTCTATACTTTGACTAAATTACCAGTTGCCTTACCTTGAAAGCATCAAATGTTTTCGTATATGAATAAACATGACTCAGTCTCTTTGTCTTCCTTTTCTTTCACTTTAACGGCGTGTAAACACTTACTGTGCGATAAAAAACTAATTTGATGACTATTCGAAAGAATAATCGAAGGAAAAAAAGAATCCGGAAGTAAAAAAGCCCATAAAAACAGTGTAAAAAAACTATGCAGATACTTCATATTTTTCTGGTTACTCTCCACAGCAAAAAAAATGCATCAACTTCTTGCTTCTGTCCTTATTATTGCCATCATCGGTGTTATAAATGGTGATAAATGTGGTCAAAACTGTCTGTATTCTAACTGTCCTGCAACATGTCCATGTGGAAGAACAACAAACTATGTTTCGGCTACCTCATACTGTTCACGGTACACGGATTGGGATCAACAATGTTGTCAGTGTATTGTTCAAGCTGAATCACAAGGAAATGCCAATGCAATGAATTACAACTCAGACAGAACATGGGATATTGGTTTATTTCAAATAAATCAACAAAATTTTGCTTCCTGTAACAGTGGTCGATATCCATGTGATCCACAGCAGAATTTAGCTTGTGCAAGAAAAGTATGGCAATGGGGTGGCAGAACATTCAAGCTATGGGCTACAGTTCGACAATGTAATAATCAACTTGGAAAGCGATGTGGCTGAGCAACAAACAGTTTGAACTGAAAAACAATATATCTTGTAACAGTCATTTCTTGTTCGCCATAATTAATCTTGAGTAAAAATAAAGTTTCTTTCTGACTCTGAATGTCTTATAACGGGTCTGACACAATAAAGAACCTGTTTTTTATATTCTCTAAAATAATTAGAATGAAACATATGATCAATTTTAATTCAGATACACTATGATTATGAGAATAAAGGTTGATTATTTTCAAAGTATTACAAATATGAAAGGGTTCATCATTTATGATCATTATAAAGTTCGCATAAGTGTAGAACTCAAAGATTTGGTTCAATGGACAACGAATTGTTCAATTGAAATGAAGCTAAAAAATCTCAAATTTCAAGTTTAAGAATTCGCACGAGGATCGTTGGGTGTAGGTGGGATGTGTCGGTGTGGGTGTGTGTGAGTGTTATTGTTATCCTGTATTGTATCGTCTACCCCTATCCTCATCCACATCCACCCACACCGTAATTTACTTCAAAACCTCAAAATTTTAGACATTCTCTAAGGTTTCATCGTGTGGTAGCCACATTTGGTCAAGAGATGATTCTTTTATGATTTCTATCCATTTAAAAGTAAAGAAGTGAATACGGCTTCTTGAAATAACATCATTGGAATCAAAATTGTACTATAAGAAGTGGAAAAGAAAAAGTCTTAGCTTAATAAGACTAGTAAACTCTTTTATTCTGTAAGGAATTTTTCAAAAAACTTTGAATTGGAAGTACAATTTTAGTCCATGAACCAAATTTACTGGTATGGTTGGAAAGAGTGCATCAAAGTGTATTTGAAACATATAAAACCTAATACGAAGCATGACTTCTAGAAAACATTAATAGAATATACACGACATTGACTAATTGCAACAGCTAAGTGAAAAGGGCTGTTATCAACGTAACGTCATTAGAGCAATATAGAGAGAGAAAAAAGAGAAGTTTCATACTTTCTTGTTGTTAGTGCAGATGTATCCTTCTGGATAGCTGAGCAAAATTCGTCTCTGGTGCTTTTGCTGAGGACTCAACAAAGTATTTTCTTTATCTCTGTTTTGACTTAGCTGTTGCAATTAGTCAATGTCGTGTGTATTCTATTGATGTTTTCTAGAAGTCATGCTTCGTATTAGGTTTTATATGTTTCAAATACACTTTGATGCACTCTTTCCAACCATACCAGTAGATTTGGTTAATGGACTAAAATTGTACTTCCAATTCAAAGTTTTTTGAAAAATTCCTTACAGAATAAAAGAGTTTACTAGTCTTATTAAGCTAAGATTTTTTCTTTTCCACTTCTTATAGTACGATTTCAATTCTAATGATGTTATTTCAAGGAGTCATATCCACTTCCTTAGTTTTAAATGAATAGAAATCATAAAAGAATCATCTCTTGACTAAATGTGGCTATCACATGACGAAAGCTTAGAAAATGTCTTAAATCTTGAGGTTTTCAAGTAAATTATTCTTGATAAATTCTCAAATAGAATGGAAAAGATAGAAAACAGTGAATAGTGCAATAAAATATTGACATTGAAGGCTTAGTACGCTTTAAACGAAGAAAAAATTATGTTCTTCGCAAAGGAGGGGGCCTATAATTATGTTACAATTATTTTACAATTTTCTCTAATTTTTTCTTCAAATAAAAAGAGAAGAAAGAGAAAGAGAAAGAGAAAGAGAAAGAGACAGAGACAGAGACAGAGACAATATTATTAGTTGCTATTTGCATAGTCTCATGCAAACATATCAGTGGCATATCAACACGATTCGTTGTTGAAATGAAAGAAACTTTTTTGTATGTATAGATAAGGGGATCTATAATTATGTTATATCCTGTAAAAAATTCAAACATCACTGTTTGCTAAAGTTACAATGTCTTTTGGCATTTTGATTCTAGTATAATTATTTTGCGTCATACTTAATACACTTTTTCATCAAAATGATATGTGATATTGTACATGACTTTCCAAGAAATTGAATGAATCTTTGAGATTTTAATGATTTGTTAAGAAGCTATACTAGTTTACAGGAATAACACTGCTTTGCAGGAAACTTGATAAGTCTTCGACGAATATCATTCAATGCTGATGTTGTTCACATAAGTTATCTATTGGTGATTATCTTAAGCAACAAGAAAAAAACGGATTCTAAACTCGGAGAGTGTCATTTTTGTGATGCCGAAGTAGAGAAACACATTATATGTCGAAAAATTCAAGAATTCCATTCAGCTTTTGCTCGTTTTTCCAGATTTTACACTTCAGAGGGTTCATCAAAATTGTCTGCATTAGTTTCTTCATGAAATAAATTATTCATATTTTGTGATTGCATCTATCTATCTATCAAACCAGCTACAAGATAACATGTATTAATAAAGTAGTGAATTGAAATTCATGCTATGAAAGAAACATCAGCAAATCTTTTGAGATGAGAATATTTTCCTAAGTCATTCATTCATGTATATTTGTTAGAAATTCTAGAGAGTACTGTTTCTAAACTTTAGTTGATAAAAACAAAGACAGCGATAATAGATTATTAAGCAAATTACTGATTGAGTTAATTTCAAAGATAATGGAGAATCTGACATTGTGTGCTATTCTAATATCGTTTAGTATCATGAATAAACAACTAATATCTATCGTTAGTTTCAACAATGTTAAAAAATGGCAATATTTTCATCAGTTCTGAAACAGTTCATCTCGTTTTTTTTTTTCATCTCGAATTGTTTCAAGTCAATTTAAGATCGACATGATGGGAAAAAGTCTCTCATGATCGATCTTTTTTTTTCTGATATTAATACTATTGAAGATACATATATCCTAAATTGTACTCATATTTTCTATCACAATCGGTCTAAAAGTAGAAATGAATAAAAATAATCAAGTAAAACATATTGAAATTCTCATTTCTGTTTATATTTTTAAACAATCAACTATTTCATATCGTTCGATATTTTCCAACAATGAATATTGAATTGCAACTCACATTGATATAACTTTATGATCATCTATGTAATATAAGTGAAATATTATTGACTATTTGGAAGATTATATTCAT